GTCCTGTTTGCTCTAGTTACATTATGAAATTGAGAGCTCTGCAAAAGTATCAAGCTTCTCAAGTCATTTCTGTTAGAATTTGAGATCTTAAAACCTATTTCGAGGAATGTTATTTAACACCGACGCTCCGAACTACAGACATGAAGCACAGTTGTCATCCTGAGGATTTAACCCAGAGGCTGAGGAAAATAAAACAAGAAGCTTTTAGGTAAATAATTCACTACGGGAAGCTTCACCGGATGTTTATCAGAAGAACGATAACCTATTTCCCCTCAGAGGAATACATCTGGTGATTTCTGGACGCGAGGGTACATCTGAGTTTACCTCGTCATGACCTACTTTCCCTTTCTCGTCCTGGACGCCTTTTTTTTTTAGCAAGTTATGATTGTCCCATCTTATTTGTTTAGCAGCTGTGGATCTAAACACAGTGTTTCAAAGTGTTTTATCGACCTTTAGACGGCACAGAAGTTGGCCAGAAAATTATTTTGTCTTCTAACTTTTTAGTAAGAAAAGTTCAATTTCAAATTCTAAAATTAAAAAGGGTTAAATATGCAGCATGTGTGTGTATGGTGCCTTCAAGAGCCTTAGTGTGACTCAGCACATAGATGCAATCCCTGAATAATCACTTGGACAAACATTAATATGATACTAAAGGTCACGAACATTTACTGTTGAATATTTATTAAAAAATGTGATTTCTTCTCACAGGAAGAGTAATAAAGTAAATGTCACTGAGTCTGATCTACCCAGGACTCTTTATTTATCCAGATATATGTAATGTTGGCAGTGTATACCAGGACATTAATGGCAGACATAATGATTATAAATTACATAATGGTGAGTTTTACCTTGCATAAGTCTGCATTGTAAAATTTTAAAATTTTAAATAAATGCTAGTTATTACCTTCAAATCATCAGAATTATACGAGTGACAGACAGCACCATTCATTTCAATGGGAACGTTAAACATGACATTTTCTCCCTCACAATTCAACCTGCTATAAAGATTTTTAACAACTAAGATATACCGTCATAAAAATAAGGTTTAAAGGACATTAAAATACTGATATTTGTCGTTACTTTAAAGCGTTATTACTGGTGACAAAAGTCGAACCGTATTGGATATCCGTTGTGAAAGCCAACAATGTGAAACTGAATGAGATGTGATTAAGTGTGCCTCTCGTGTTTCACATCGCTCCGAGCCTCAGCTCTTTTGCTAAAGGGCAGCGCGGCACTCGGTGTTAGAGGAAGATATTTCTTATTCAATTTCCCACACAGAGTCTCCGAGCCAGAACAGGATCAAAACACGGACCCTCGGGTACAAAAGAAAAGCTCAATTTCTCCCCACTTTCACAGCGCCAGTTTACATTTGCTCGGGGGATGTTTGGGGGGGGGGGGTTTCGTCTCGCCAAGTGTCCTCTCCCCACCTCGGGAGGTATTTTCGTACAAGCAGGATTAACTTGTATATCCCGGCCTCTCGCTGTCATGCTGTGGATTATAGAGCCGCGGGGAGGAGGGGCGGGGGGTGGAAAGTGTGTTTCCGTTTGTTGGTGCCATGTGTAAAGGTGTGCTGGACGAACCTGGCAGGATGCTAACTGCTAGCGGCGTTAGGCTAGCATCCAAGAGCTTTAAAGGTCACCTATTATGCAATACATACATCAACATGTGTCCCCTCTTCTTCATGTCTCTTCTACATCAACATGTGTCCCCTCTTCTTCATGTCTCTTCTACATCAACATGTGTCCCCTCTTCTTCATGTCTCTTCTTCATCAACATGTGTCCCCTCTTCTTCATGTCTCTTCTACATCAACATGTGTCCCCTCTGTGGAAAGAGACTCTGAAAGTTTCAGGAACAACGATTCTCTCTCTTTTTGTCCTGATCCATTTCTATAAAAACCTGTCTGAAAATGAGCTGATCAGATTTTGGCCACTTTATGATGTCATAACGATGTGTTGTCTTGTGTAACCATTAGCCAATCACCAACCAAGGTATGATTAAAACTATGAAAGTAAAAGATTACAATTTTCCACAATTTTTGGACTTCTCTCTGTCCCGTCCCAAGTGACCAATCAGAGCAGCCGGCAGACAGGAAGAGGGGGCTGTAAATTGAGTGCTACTCATTAAAGTGACATTAATGGTATTATTGAGCACGGAGGAAAGGATGAATCAGGGGGAAATTGGCACAGGAGTGCAGCAGTAAAAAGGGCTTGGCCGAGCGCCAGACCTGCATAATGTCAGGACTAAAGTCTCCTCGCTGTAAATGCAGCTTGTGTTACCTGTATATTTCATTTGTATTTACTTGCACTATTTTAACTATTGTATCTGTTGTATTGTGTTGCACTGTTGGAGGAGCCTGTGACCTAAGATTTTCATTGACATAACTATACTGTAGCTATGAACAAATGACGATAAAAGCCTTGACACTTGAAACTAATGTCAGGACTAAAGTCCCCTCTCTGTAAACTAAGCTCGTGTTATCTGCAGAATGTCAGGACTAAACTCTGCTGGACTGCAACTGCACGCTTGTTACTTTAGTGTTGCTTTATATTACGCAATTAGCACCGTCAGCTGTAAGGCAGGCTCCAAACGTGTTGATTATTACCATAAGACGTGATATTCCCCCTGGTGATATCAGTTGCTATGCCAACTTTTTCTGAAACTAGGGACCTACTGTAGTTATAGCGCTGTTTCTCTACTGAAGTTGCAGAGGCATCAGAAAGAGTTTATTAAACTTCACTGTGATGACTTCAGGTGGATTATCACAGAGAGGAAGGCACTATATGGAGATTAACCATTTTTTTTACCTGCAAAAAGTTAAATATGTTCCACGTTTTTAAATTAAAACAAGATCTGAAGGGCTGCTGTATGGTTAGTAGAGCTGGCGGCTCATATTTGCAAACATTCACGTGTCAACTCCCCCTTTTAACTCTCTAATAAAGGCATTGAAGGCCTAAAAGATTATGTACAATATATATGAAATATGTCAGGACTTCGTCACAAGGTTTGCAGTGCATATTATAACAAATACAATTACAATTATTTTTGAAAAATTGAGAAAATTGACACTAAATTGTCTAAAATGATGGAAGAAAGTTGATTGGACCATATTTTGAGTTATAGTCTAAAATAGTGTTTCTGGAACATAGTGACGTAACACTCGCGCTCCTATTGGCTAGCGCTCCAACACATTGTACGTGATAGGCTAAGGGGCGGGACGTCTCTAAGCGGTTGACCAATCACAACAGAGCCATTAAACATTAAAGCATGGAGACATGTCACATTAGAGACACTACATACTGATATGAACCTGAACATGAGAAGAATATGTCCCCATTTAAAAGCCGAAGATTATTAATTGATCGAACGAGAGAAGAATAAGATGCAGAATAATTGATAATGAAAATAATCGTTAACCGCAGCCCTCATTTTTTTTTTTTTTCCCTCAGCTCCGCCTCTCTGCACTACATGTCTTGTTCAGTCACACACCGTCAGAGGAGGGTTGTGGGTAGTGACTTGGTGGGTGGTGGCAGTGAGTGATTGTGTTTCTGGGGATGCAGGGATGGGAGTGACTTAGTTACCCAAATAAAACTGAAATGTTACTCCACAACACTGTGTATGTATTACAGGTCACCTATTGTGCAAAATCCACTTCTTCATGTCTCTTCTTCATCAACATGTGTCCCCTCTTCTTCATGTCTCTTCTACATCAACATGTGTCCCCTCTTCTTCATGTCTCTTCTACATCAACATGTGTCCCCTCTTCTTCATGTCTCTTCTTCATCAACATGTGTCCCCTCTTCTTCATGTCTCTTCTACATCAACATGTGTCCCCTCTTCTTCATGTCTCTTCTACATCAACATGTGTCCCCTCTTCTTCATGTCTCTTCTTCATCAACATGTGTCCCCTCTTCTTCATGTCTCTTCTACATCAACATGTGTCCCCTCTTCTTCATGTCTCTTCTTCATCAACATGTGTCCCCTCTTCTTCATGTCTCTTCTACATCAACATGTGTCCCCTCTTCTTCATGTCTCTTCTACATCAACATGTGTATATAAAAACCTGTCTGAAAATGAGCTGATCAGATTTTGGACACTTTATGATGTCATAACGATGTTTTGTCTTGTGTAACCATTAGCCAATCACCAACCAAGGTAACCCCCCCCACCTTATCACCTGAATCTCCTCCTAGAGCACCATTGAGTTCTTTGTAACCAAATCTCTCTCAGAGGGGCGTGGGGAGGGGCTCCTTATTTTCATCTGAAGTAACAGAGAGAGAATCAGCACTTTGGAAACAGGGCTGAAACAGAGGGGATTATGGGTAATGCTGCAATGATCTGTTTGGTGTTTCAGCCAATCAGAGACAGGCTCTGTATATATCTGAGACCTGTGATATATTGATGAAAACAGTAAATAGGGGACCTTTAATATGTCAATTACATTTGATAGGCAGCTGTATCCGCCACAGACGCATGGCAACTACTACTAAAGGATTTGCCCCCAAGTGTTTTAATTATGTTCTAACTACAATCCTTTTTAGTCGTTACAGAACTGCACGTTATGGTTTTGAATGTGGGAAATACAGTAGGTGGGTGAGGTAAAGTGGGGAGGGGGTGGTGGAGGTGAAGCGAGTGCTCTGTGAGTATATAATGCCGCCGAAAACAGCTGAAAAACTGGAGCGCCAGCAGCAAAATGAGGAGGGGGGGCAGGGTTACACAGAGGAAATGGGGCAGGGGGCGGTACTCACTGACAGCCTATAGTTCTGCATCATTTTATCAAACTCCTCGTCAATTTTTTTGTATTTCTCCTCAGTGCGGGGGGTGAGCGAGAAGGGCTCCTCGGGGTCTGGGCTCTCAGAGTCCCGGTGCTCTTTCTTGTTCAGAGCCTTCGTTCCCCAAACAAAAGAAGAAGAAGAGGAAGAGGAAGAAGAAGAAGAAGAAGAGGTAGATAGAGAAAGAGAAGATAGGTTAGATAAAGTGATAAAAGTGTGACGGTACTCACGCCGTAGCGCTTGAAGAGGCTGTCCAGGTCCTCCGTCTTGCGGTACTTTTCTTCGTTTAGCGGGCTTTGGTCGATGGAGTCGTCTCCGTCGGGTTCGGGGCTGTTGCAGCCGTTAAAGCCTTTCTTTCGCAACGTCTGAGGCGGGTAAAGGAGGAGAAGGAGGCACATTTACATTTCATTTTTCATGCACATACAGTATGGGGTGAACTCCTGGAGACATTGATATACATTAGCATTAGCATACTCCTTGGTTTCATTGGTATAACCTCAGGGGAAAATCTGTCTGACAACCAGCTCGTAGCTAACTTTACCAACAGCTATGTGTGTGTCGCTGGACAGGAAGTGGACGACGTGGTTTGACAGCTGCCTTCAGCACACAGTAGATTCCCATAAAACCAACGAGCTCAAATGTGTTCGTGTCTATTATTGGTGTAGCTTAAATTGTGATGTGATTATTATATCTTGCACATTTGTCACAACTGTCACAAAAGCCATTGTCCTCCTCGGATAAATAACGTATCTTAGGCTTTCACAAAAACACAAATGACCATCTTGATTGCACCACACAGTATCTGCTGACTCCCACTCTGTTCTTTGTATAAAAAAAGCAACTAGTAAAAGTCCGAAGGAGCAGTTTGACCCGAGCGAACACAAACAAGGAGCGTTTTAAAGAAATAGAAAAGGAACCTTGCAGAGAGCACAACCTCTGATCATATCCAATCCATTTTCTGAGGTCAACGTTCGTGACATCTGCCGCCCACGTGGAAGCAAGTTATTAAAACTGAATCTGAACTTGCTCGTCCAGCAGGTGCTTTCAGGAAGAATAGATTTCAAATGGAAAAAAAATGGATGTCTATAGAAAACAAGCACCCCCAATCTTTACCAAGTGCTGCTGTTGTGGCGAGAATGTAAGCATGTCATCGAGGCCTCACACCTCTGAACACACAGGCCAATCAACAGGGTGAGTAATTGGTGTGAAGCCTCGCTCCGAGGAAAAGTGGTTGAACAAAGGGTAATGGGTGAGATGGGAAGCACGCTGTGGTGTTAGCGCCGAGGCTAATGGCAGTCAGGCTGCTTCAGTGTTAGCACACTTTGGAAAAGGCGAGAAGGGAGACAGGCGAGAAGGGAGAGAAGAGAGGGAGGGAGATAGAGGCTCTTATTTGGAGAGGATTCTGCTTAACGAGATTTGCCATTAAGTAGCTTTGCCGGGTGGGCCCTTGACCACACAGCCAAGCAGAAAGATCCGCACAGCAAAATGGATCTTAGAGCGGAGCCCGAGAGCCTTCTGCGGTCCAACTACTAGCTTTAGACCTGATTGGAGTAAGAGGAAGAGAAAATCCCTACCCTTGAAATCTATCAGCAAAAGGGAAAAAGAGTGTGGAGGCGAGCAAAATGAAATCCATCTTATCAAGTCCTTTAAATCTGTAAGTGAGTCGTGAAAGACTTCAAAACAAATGAATAAATCTGCCGTTGCAAATGAGAATATTACATCCTGTCTCCAATATAAATTAGCATCAAGAAACAAGCAAGGGTCACGGGGCTTCACTTCAATCTAAAATAATCCAACTTTATAGAATGTAATGAGGAAATAAGACTTTACCAGTTTGGGAAGCTTGTTGTTGCATTTAGGAATTTTAAATGCATTTATTCTACTGTTCTGAGCCACCATTGACTTCCATTCATTTATATACTTCAGTTATTCTGGTTTCTCTTTGAGGTAGAGCATAACAAGCTGTACACAAACTGTTGAAATACTACGACCTCATGACGGGTTAGCAGTCAGTAAACTATGTGCACTTCCTACAGATATTGAGCTATATTAGCATTGATTTGGAGATGATGGATGCAATATATGATGGATGCAGTGGGTTCAGAGAAGCTTTTATGTAGAAAACAGTATATTCACATACAACCAAAACATTGAGCTAAAAGATGCTAAACACTCCAGAGAAAGAAATCTAGCTCATCTGTTGCCTTCATTTTCTTTTGTTCACCATCTGCTTGATCACTTAATCAGCATCTAAATCTGTTGTTCAATTAATATAGGATTTAGTTTGCTTGTTTGTTGAGAACGGCAGCTTTCTGCAGATAAAACCAAAACAATGCTGAAAGACGCTAAAACCCTCCATCAATATCGATACGTGTGGCTTTAACTTGATATATGGAGGCGTGTGGCGCAGTGGGTTAATGCGCTGATCTTCGAATCAGAGGATAGCAAGTTCGAGTCCCTCTGCAGTCAGCATGTCGTTGTGTCCCTGAGACACTTCACCCCAAATTGCTCCTGTGGGGATTGTCCACAGTATTGAGTATGTAAGTCGCTTTGGGTAAAAGCGTCTAACAAGTGACATGTAATGTAATGTAATATACTGTAATTGTTACTGTAGTATACCTTTCAGGCGGCTGCTAATTGTTTTTTGTATACAGTTTGGAAATGAATGGAAATCAATGGGTGTTTAGAATGGTAGGAAAACATACAATAAATAGTGTTAAATATGACAGTGTGCAAAAAGTGTATGATTTGTTTTGGCCATTCCTTTTTATACTTTGCATTTGTAGATAAATGGACATTAATGGTTGTTGAAAATTGTACCTTAACCTAGGGCTGTGGCAAAAATCATAATCACGATTATTTGGGTCAATAATTGATATCACGATTATTAAATACGATTATTCATTGACTTTGAAAACATCCATTTATTGAACTTTAAAACAAATACAAATAATAATTTGAACAGTATCTTTTTAACTGTTGATTACCCTGAACGTATAATTCAACTGAAAAACCAATACAAAAATAAATAAAATAGATACATTTATATTTACATTTAAATAAATAATATCAAAATAATAAATACCAATAAACAAGATCAACAAATATTTTGGAGCGCACTTCAACAAGCTACTAAACATATGTAAATATGATAAATACGAATAAATGAGACCAAATTAATTAGATCAAATATGTTCTAGTGCACTGTCATAACCTAGCAAAGCAAAATAATTGTTTTTTTTCGATTATGTTGTTTTCGTAATTGTGGCAGGCCAAAATCGTAATTGCGATTAAAATACGATTAATTGCACAGCCCTACCTTAACCATAACCATAACCCAACTGAAACTGCATACATTCATCATGGGGTGGTAAAAAGCTGGTTTGGTTGTTTTAAGCCTCAATGTCAGATGTGTTTTACAGCGCATCACTTCAAAGACGATCCATAAGAAACAACAGTACTCATGTTCAATACTTCACTCACCCTTTATTTTTCTTTAATTAATTATGCTGTGTCAAGTGAGTGTGATTAAAACATGAGCACATGTTCAACGACTCCCACTGCGAACAATCTCTGCTAAGTGAGGATGACTCAACTCCATGCAACCCTGCAGCTTTTGGAAAAGTGCAACCGGCGGGAACTCGTACCTGCGGGAGCTTCAACAAAACCCCGAGGAGGAAGACACAGACGCTTTTCATTTGGGAGGAATTAGCGTTATAAAGTAACAGGTGAGAGGGTAATGATGCCACTTTGGATGTCCTTAACATCTGTAACTGAGTCCTGGGAATCTTTAAAACAAATGAATACATCTGATATCCTGTTTCCAAAATGAATAGGCGTCAAGAAACAAGGACTCATCGTGCTTCACTTAAAGGGGACCTATCATGCAAAATGCACTTTTGTACGTCTTGTATACATGAATATGTGTCCCCGGTGTTCCAGGGAACTCACCAAGTGTCAGAAAACACAACCCTCTCTATTTTCCTCCATACCCAAATCTCTAAAAAAGGGGCTGCAACGGATCTGATAAAAACTGATCCAGATTTGAACACTGTCCTGACGTCAGGACGGTGGCGCTACGGCTATTGGGCCAACTCTCCACCAATCAGGAGGAGACAGCCACGGCCATTGCCGTTCGAAAGCGCTGGAGACGCTGTAGTACATATGCCAGGCCTCTAGATGGTGCTGTTCTCACTGAATCTGCCCTTGCTAAAACAGAGCTAAAAAAGTGCAAATTGAGCAAAATGAGGCATGGCTAAAATGCATGATCTGTTTGGTATTTTGAAAAAAAATATGCCTTATATAGGTATGGTCCTACACTATATTATTCAAATATAGCATGATAGGTCCACTTTAAGTTTTAAAGAATGTTATAAGAAGATAAGATATATTAGTCCTCATGTATGTAGGGAAGATGTGGCTCAGTGGATAGTATGATAGACTTCGAATCAGGGGGTGGCAAGTTCGAGTCCCACTGCAGTCAGCATGTCGTTGTGTCCCTGAGACACTTCACCCCAAATTGCTCCTGTGGGGATTGTCCACAGTATTGAGTATGTAAGTCGCTTTGGATAAAAGCGTCTAACAAGTAACATGTAATGTAATGTAATATATATTTAACATCACGGCCAACCATTTTGGAAACCTTGTTGTCGCATTAAGGAATGTTCAATGTATTTTTTCTGCTGTTCTGAGCCACCATTGACGTCCATTCATTAGTATATTTATGTCAATCTATGTAGCAGACTCTCAAAACAGGTGAGAGGGTAATGATGCCACTTGGATGTCCTTAAAATCTGTAACTGAGTCCTGGGAATCTTTAAAACAAATGAAGAAATCTGCCACTGCAAATGAGAAAGACATCCAATTGTAATGAATGTTATAAGACGATAAGACTTTAAATGACCAAACAAGTAATATATTAGTCCTCATGTATCTTTAACATCACGGCCAACCATTTTGGAAACCTTGTTGTCGCATTAAGGAATGTTTCTCCTGTTCTGAGCCACCATTGACTTCCATTCATTAATATATTTATGTCAATCTATGTAGCAGACTCTCAAAACAGATGAGAGGGTAATGATGCCACTTGGATGTCCTTAACATCTGTAACTGAGTCCTGGGAATCTTTAAAACAAATCAATACATCTGACATCCTGTCCCTAATAGAAATGAGCTTCACTAAAATCAAGAAATGTTTTAACTTGAATTTGAAAGATTGTTATAAGAAGATAAGACTTTAAGTGACCATACAAGTGATATGTTAGTCCTCATGTATCTTTAACATCACGGCCAACCATTTTTGAAACCTCGACGTTGCATTAAGGAATGTTCAATGCATTCTTTCTGTTGTTCTGAGCCACCATTG